TCAAGGTATGTTTAAAGTCCTCAAATTTGTGGAAACATGTCAAGGTATTACATTTAAGCAAGAATATGCGTGTGAAGTTGCCAAATGACCAATCTGGAGACATATTCTCTAAACAACTCATTGACATTGGCAAATTTTCTATAGACATGTTGACTGACTGCATTAACTTTCCTCAAAAGTTTTGTTACTTAACTCGATCAGAGATGAACTTTTTCAAAAGGTATTTCCAGATGTTTCTAAAAATTATAGAAACATTGATTGGTTGAGCAAGGCGAGCTATATTGGCTGCAAAAAACATAGATGTAAATGTTTTAAATTCAAGCCAATTGAGGATATATAAATCGTTTGATTCGGCTACTAACCAAGATGATGTCATCAACTCTGAATTTTTAAACTCGCTGGATTTGCCAGGATTGCTACCTCACAATCTTCAATTAAAGGTTGGATCGGTAACTATAATGTTGCGAAATATCAACCAACCGCGTCTTTGCAACGCACACGGTTAGCGATAAAAAAAAATTACTGAACAATGTGATAGAAGCAACTATACTGAAAGGAAAGCATAAAGGAGAAAGTTATTTTGATACAACGCATCCCAATGATTCCGACTGGCGTACCATTTGAATTTAAACGACTACAGTTTCCAGAGCGGCTTGCTTTTGCTATGACCATAAATAAGTTCATCATTATACGTTTGTGGTATTCTCTGATCTAGAAAACCCATGTTTCTCACATGGTCAATTGTATGTTGCCCGTTCACAAAGCACTACAATGAAAATAAATTTAATTTTTATTAATAATTATGATTTACTTGATTAACAATAAAGCGGTTACTTTAAATGCTTATACATGTTTTATATCATTAATTTTTATTACATCGGTTATTAATCCGTCTATCTCTATGTTATGTCATTGAGGCACCCATTTTTTTAATATTTGTCACCTTTAGCTTCCCACTATCCCTTTAGATTATTTTCCAATCATGTCTGAAGTTCGCCTCATAGTTTAAATTCCTCTGGCAAACATACCAGTCGAGGTTTTTTAGTTGGTCCCAGTTCGTGGAAGCGAAGACACTTTGGTCACCCAAGCTGACCCTTACACACCGCCCTATCATCAGAGTGACGGTTCTGTTCAGGAGAATTTTTTTGACAGAACCAAGTCTGTCGGGTCCGCTAGTGCTTTAATAAGAATGGGTTATTCTAATACACTCAAAACGGAAAAAGTATATCGAATTCTTAAATAAACTAAAACGTTAATAAAGATTTAAAGTATGCGACTGCATAATTACAAAAGTTAAGTTGCAATTATATTTGCAGTTACGGTAAAGCTGCTTTGTGGATGCTGCCGTTAACTCCCCCTTTACAGTGAGTAATTGACTGCTGAACGGTTCACACGTTTTTATTACTTCTTCTTCTTCTTCTTTTCATTCGCTTCGCTCTTATTGTATTTCGTATTGTTGTTGTGTTGTGATAATTTTCGAAAGACAGTGACTTCCCGTCAAGAATTTAATCTTGTCAATAGTGTGCAGACATAAATAGAGTGATTTAAGATAAGTTGAACTAAAATAACTAAATTAAGTTTTAAGTTATCACACCAATCATGGCCTTCGATCCTGGAGGTATCAAAATTATTACGCAATTATAGGAGCAGAACCATCACCAAAACGAAAATGTCCTAACCTAAATAAAAATCATGATTTTCCAAACCTAAAAAAAAAACCACAAACCCCAACCCTTCACCCCCTCCTCCTGCTCAAAGTTTTTCACAATTAATTAAAACCATTAAAATCATACAACATATTTTTGCTCCAACCAACAAGCAACCAACAAACAACCAAATCCTAAAAGCAACAAAACTATTAAACCTATGTGAAATATCTGTTAATTTACACCCAACATTAAACACTGTCAAAGGAGTCATATGTGCAAGTTGTCTCGCGAATCTAACCGAAAGTGAAACAGTAGATGGTCTTCATCAACAGGGAGTAACAGAATGCAAAAAAATTAGTCAAATAATTGACGGTAAACTTGTTAACACTCCTCTTCACATTATTTCCTTCAGTGCCTACGAACTACCTAACGAAGTCGACATTGCATGGCTCAAAGTCAAGGTTGAGCCATAGATCCCATCGTCAATGCAGTGTAAAAACTGCTTTGTCTTAGGTTATGCAGTATTAATTGCAGACAAAATCACAGTTCAGACCACAAACAATGGCCAACTCTACTTAAAAAGAAATGTATTCTCACATACAAAACAATACACAAGTGTAGCTATAGAGAAACTGCCAAAAAAATAAACAACAAACACAAACAATATCCAACCCCAACTGAAAACCTTGAAGAAGCAATAAGCAAAAATAAACCGAAAACCCAATGAACCGAAAACAAACAACATCTTATTTTAATTAAGGGGAGTATTAGTGTGGGGACACAGCACATTGACCACATCTGGCAACACGATTCTATATGTCATTATTAATCTCTTTTTGGGAAAACTTTAGTTCAGCATCCCACGATTTCAGGGTTAAGAGCTTATAGTTTTCGAGATATTTGCATTTTAAGTTGAAAATTTCACAAATTTCATTTTACAATTTCTCGATTTATGGTTATCTTTTCTTTTATATTATACACTTATTACACACTAACACTTCACTACAATGTTTCTACATATTTATTTTATATTAAATATTTAAGTATTTGCTTTAAATAAGCATTTAATTTTTACACAATTTTCGTAATATGAACAATAACAAATGGGTTCCATGTTGTCAGATAATAAGTGTTGCCATATCCAAACGGATGAAAGCAATCAAAATAAAAACCTCTACAAAATATTATGAACTTAATTTTCCATTTTAATAAAAGAAAAAGGTTTTATGGCTTAAACGTATGTTTTATTGCATCTGATAATTTCATAAATGGATCATGATGCTGATTTACTATATTTTTACGCCATATGTATTCATATATCAAATTTTCGAAATCTTCACTATTATTATAATTATCCTTAATAAAAATTGAAGTTTATAGAAAGTGATATATTCTCTTTAACATTGCTTTTTTTGTTAAGATTTTTTATTTGCACTGGCGGCCTTAGGCCGCGCTTCAAAAAAATAACCTTGGTTGGTCCAACACCGGGGTGTTCATAATTCAATCGCCTCAAACTTCTTTGTGCACTGGCGGCCTTCGGCCGCGCTTCAAAAAAATAACCCTGGTCGGTCCAACACCGGGGTGTTCATAATTCAATCGCGTCAAACTTCTTTTTGCACTGGCGCTTTAAAAAAATAACCCTGGCCAGTCCAATACCATAATTTATCAATAGAAGGGAATGAACAAAATTATAGTTCATGTATTTGGGGTATAATCCTCTTTTATTGTTCATTTTAATTCGCTTTCATATATATATATATAATAGATATGGCAACACTTATTATCTGACAACATGGAACCCATTTGTTATTGTTCACATTACGAAAATTGTGTAAAAATTAAATGCTTATTTAAAGCAAATACTTAAATATCTCTCTATTATATATAAAAGTTTTCTGCTGCTGTCTAGAATCAACTAACATAAGAGCGAGCTAGCTCGCGCTCGGCGGGGGGCGGACGTAGGGGAGCGAGCGCAGCGGAGGGCGCCTAGTTTAATATAAAATAAATATGTAGAAACATTGAAGTGAAAAGTTAGTGTATAATAAGTGCATAATATAAAAGAAAAGATAACCAAAAATCGAGAAGTTGTAAAATGAAATTTGTGAAATTTTCAACTTAAAACGCAAATATCTCGAAAACTATAAGTTTCCGGCGGCAATAATTATATATATTCGTGATCTGGAGAATCTCCTCTATCCAACCATACCCTTCTTAACCCTGAAATCGTGGGATGCTAAACTAAAGCCCACCCCTCTTTTTTTACATCGAGATTCGCGAAAATTTCCCAGCGGTTCCAACGGGTAAAATCTCTTCAATTATCAAGAGAGTTCAATCGAGAAGATACCCTCAAGTAGATAAAATTATAACTTATCTACTTGAGGTCGTGTGAGTGTCATTATAATCGTTAGCTAATAAAATTTAATAAACATATGTTTGTAGTAAAGTTAGTCGTTACACAATGTAAACATAGGTTGTTGACCCATAAAATGTAAACAGAACCATAAAGGGGTCATAAGATGTAAACGAAAGAGTCATTAACATAAATGTAAACAAAGATTGTTGACTCAACTAAAGGTAAACGAAAGGGTCATCGACCTCATAAACTGTAAACAGAGTGATCATCGATGCCATAAAATGTAAACAAATTTGCACACGTTTTTTTTCCAAGAAACTGCTCATTACCCGGAACCGCTGATATCGGACCACTATGCTCGTAACATATAGTTGTCATACAAAGTGATCGCTTAAAATCAAGCCTTGTATGGAACTTTTTTATTTGATATGGATTATTGTCCAAGGCAACACTACAATGTTGTTCAGATCGATCAATATCATGAGAAAGATCGTTTTATACCCTTTTATGCTATAAGAAATGCCCCTGTAAAGGATATTAGAGCTTCTGTTCAGCTGAAGTTAACGTTTTCTCTAGTTTCTATCTTCGCTTGTTGAAAAGAGAAACCGATATGCTTTTTGTTCCGAATTCGTATTATATAAATAAAGAGAATAGCTCTTACGACATGATACTTCGAAATCCGGGTATGAATCCGCCCGCCCTGTTACAGGCTCGAAAAATCCGGCAAATCTGGGAAAATCCGCCGATCTGCCAGCTCTATTGAAGAAGGTTGTAGTGTTACAATAAACAGCAAGAGAATATAAAATTTTGCGAAAACCAAACATTAACCACACTAGAACTGTAGCACAACCCGGCAGAAGCCCCGTAAACAAAATGCAACTGTATTATTTTTTGCATACAAGTGCAAATCTAATTATTTTATATTCATTACAAATATTATTTTTTAAATTAAAGTTATTTTATCATAGTTTATTATATTATAATATCTATTATTTCTATTTAACAAACGCAGGCCGTAAAACATATACATAAAAATGCAGTATATGACTGCTTCAGTGAAGTAAGAGTGAAAATCCTTTGAAATCAATCAAGGACTACGTACGGGAGTACAGTAAGCAATTCATCATTGTAGGAACGCAATTGTAGCACTTGATGCCACTCTTTGAATTGCTGAATCTGCGCACAATTATTGCCATCTTCATCATCTACATCCTCGTCGACAGCGCGCAAACCTGTACGGTTTTCTTTGTGTGGTAATAATATTTGTGTGCCCCGGGATTGCACGGATGAGTATATTACATTTTTTTCGCAGCTTGTGCCACTATTATTAAAATTTTTATCAATATTATCAGCTTCTTGTTCAATATTTGGTGCACAACCAACATTGCTGACAACTTTATTATTATCGTCAACGAATTGTTGTTTCATATTAATATTAACAGCTGCAACAGCATTAACATTGGAATCGCCATAAATGTTTATGTAATTTTGCTCTTGTCGATTTTCAAATTCATTATGATTACGAGTTTGTTTACTACGATTAATTTGAGGTTTTAAACTAGGATCATTAATATAGTATCTAATTAAATTAATGTTTTTACTGTTTTTATTATAAATGTTATTATAATCATCACAATTTTTATTTGGGAGCATTTGCTCCTGTTGTTTTGCTGCATCAACAATAGCAGGGCCAGCGTTCTCAATATCGCAAAGTATATAACCTTTTCCTATCCCATCTACGAGAATACCATTGCTTATAGTGCCATGATTGGTCTGAGCCTCCAACTTATCTTTTATGTAATAAATATTGTTAAAAGAGTACAATAGTCCATTGTTTTCTAAAGGCAATTCTTCGTTGACATTATGTTCTATGTTACTACCAGTACCATCATCTAGCGTTGAAATACTTTTCGTCTTCGAGATAAAAGTATTTACAGTCAGCATAGATTTCCCGTTGTCTGCACCGTTTTCTTTATCTATAATTATATCTTCGTCAATATCGCCTTCCTTAATACCACTACTATTTTTGAGATCCGGGACATCACCCGAGACATTATCGGAGCTATTCAAACTACAGGCTTCAGTTATAACTCCATTTTCTGTTGAAAAATCACATGTGGAGCAACTGGAATAAAGCGAACAAGGTGATGCCGACAAACCACGTTTTCGCTGATGTGCCTCAGCCATTTTTTGTTCGTATGATTCCATTTTAAGTGCTCCTAATTGAATGTCAATTTTTGAATGAGCAATGCCGCTAGACTTTACATTGGAAACAACACTTATGTCGTCTGCTAAGTCATTACAATGATCGTAGTCGCTATCATTGGCACAACTTGAGCTACAGCTGCTAAAATTTAAAATGCTTTGCTTAACTCCTGCAGCATTAGTTACAATAACCTCATGTGAGAAAAATAGCTCACGGTGAAATTTTACATCTCGCAAATATTCTAAGGGCTCCTTTGTACTTTTTTTAATTTTACGTCTTCTGCGTTGTCTCTGCTTTTTTATATTTATACTCTTAGTTATTGGTGCAGTTACGCAATTTTCTGGGTCATCAAACCTTAAAACCTTTTTTGGAGAGCTCTTAGTAACACCGCATTGTTGTAAGTTCGACTTTGGAATAGTTGAATGTGTGCCTACCTGAACATCGGATAGAAATTGTGGACGAATTTCTTCAATAGACGATAGACTGGTTGTTTCTAAAACTTCTGATGTTAACAGATTATTTATACCTTCGCAAACATCTAGCTTTTTTACAATAAGCGAATTCATGTCTATATCTCTATTATTATTAGTTTGTACAAAAGATGTATTGGATACAATGGGTGATATTGTTACAGCTGATGCTTGAGAACCGTACGTATTACTACTTGCGATAATCGGAGATATGGCAGAAAGAGAATTTATGGGAGAATTGGTTTTACTAGGTGTTTTTTTAATGGTTAGTACTATATGGTTATTGCCAGTTGAAGACGCCGATATATCACGTGTGACAACTTCGTGGAAATCACCATTATAATCATCAATGTCTTCATATTCATCGAACTCTACATCACCATCAACATCTGGGTCTCCATAATAATCATACTCCAGTTCTTGTTCATCATTAAAGTTGTTTTCACCCGAATTTGTACAAAACTCGTCATGGCCACTTGTCAAGTTACACTGATTGTATGTCAAAATGCATGCACATTTTTTTCGATTCTCAATGGGAGTTTTTTCTTTCCCATCACCGTTACCGTCTGTAGGTGGTTCCACGTTGTCTTCATCACTGCTCCCACCTGAAAATTGCATTTGAGTTGCCACTTTACCATTTATTGCTATTTTTATCCGTTTGATTCTTGGTTGTTTATTATCCTGTTCAGCACTGCCACCATGTACATTGTCAACTACAGGTCGCCCAATGCCTTTTCTGCGTTTACTTTTCCTTGCGGCATTTACGTCCAAAATCTTTTGATCCTGAAACTTACGTCTCAATTTGCACTTAATCGACTGTTGGCTTTGTTTCAAACTTGAGTAACTACAGCTGCTGCTGCGTCGACTATATGCATTTTCATCATAGTTTACTGAAAAGGTTGCATTTACTGCAGTGTCCATGGGCACTATTGTATTATGGAATAAGCTGCTGTCTAATTTGGAACTAGAATCAGTAATTGTAACAACTGGGGAGCCAGTCTCATTATATCCCCGGAGTTCTTTAGGATTTTTTTTTGGTTCTATGACTGTGTTGGATACATTCGACGGCGTTTTTGTAGCTATGTTTGAGCTATAATCTAAATGCTCAGCAATAGCAAGTAGATTTTGTCCATTCCGATCACTCTCGTTTAACTCATTTGAATGTGTCAGAAATAGGTCAGAGCCGTGACCGGCTACATCAATAGTTATGTCTTTAAGCATCACATTATTATTGTTATTTTTACTTACAATAGCACCAGCCGCTACGTCGGAACTTTTTGTTAAACTAAGCACTGTATCATTTAATTGGTCGCAAACATATGCTAAACCTTTAGATTCGGGTAACTCAGAGTCATCTATTACATTACAATTTCCTGATGCCGTTTGATTATTTTCTGTCATGACACTGACACAAATTCTGTTTTCATCAGTCTTGTACTCTTCAATTCTTTTATTCGCCTCAAACTGTTCCACTGCACTGCTATCACTACGAGACGCACGTTTATTTAATGCAGTGCCATCTGCTTTGTGGCATGTTTTACGTTTGTGCGACTTTAATTTAAATTTATTTAATAACACTGAACGAGCTACACCTAAAAATGGTATGGTGAACATTTGAGGAGTCGCTGCTGCCTTTTTAGGCATGGAGATTTCAAAAAAATTTATATGACTTAAATCTTTAGGTATGCGTTCCGTTGCAAGAGAACCGTACTTTGGTACAACATTGCTACCATCTGTTACTACATATCCATGTTCGACGTCGACTTCTGTGGTAACATGATTCAGTGCCATGTTCTGTGCAATGGTATAATTAGAATCATCCCAATTACCATTGACATTCGGTATGAAGCAATTATGTAAGGCATCAATGTGAAATTTTGTAATTTTTTGGGTTTGTAAGTCAAAGCGCAGCTTTGCCACACACTGTGGATCCTCTTCAACTTCATACGTAGGAAGGATAGGTATCTCCTCAATCAATTGAGTTAAAGTGTGTTCAATGGGCACTTTAAAAACGAGTAATTGGGACTGTTGGAACTCGCTAACAGTTGTTTCAATAATTTTTGGTTCTGGTTCGGCTTCTGCAATACTTTCCTGTTCTTTTTTCAAACCAGCAGCAGCGGCCTCCGCTATTATTTTAGGCAGTGGATCCTCATCTTCATCAAAATCAAGATCAAATATTGATTTCTTCGGTTTCGGTTTAGGAACAGTTGGCGGCAATGGAGAATTCGGTGACATCTGCTTCAAAGCGCTTTTATCAGAATTAAAAGTATTTCTATTAGTTTCGAGCTTAATAGAAAATGTGTCCATCTCTTTGGTTAGAATGCTTTCATGATAGCTCGGTTTCTGTTCATTTTCCTTTGTGGGCTCTCCTTCGTTTACCCTAACGGACTCGCCTGAGTCATTATTAGTTGATATTTCAATTACTTTACATGTACATGGTACTAACTCTGCAGTGCACTTTAATTCAATGGCATTCGTAAGTGGTACAGTCGGCAATTTCTTTAAGATCTCAATTAACTGTTTTTCAATTACAGCAATTTGGTTTCCGGAATCACTATTTATGTTGCTTTCAACCAGACGATTTGTATTAATTTTCGTTTCAGGCAGTTGTTGAATATTACTATTACTGTCGATAGATAGTGAGCGCTTTAGGTGCTTAGGGACTGCAGAGCTATCACGAGAGGGTTCTGAAGTACCTGTATCGCTGGTAGTTTCACATTCACCTTAAAAAATACAAATAATTTTTATTTGAAATATTATATGATGAAATAGAAACATTTCTTCTTGAACTTACCTGCATGTGCATTAGTCAAGAAATTTTCTGGTGTAGAACGTGTAGCCATTGTAGACATAGTGGCATTGGTGGAACAGGCATCAAAAGTATGCGGTGATTGTAAGGAAGGTTCTACAATATAAATAAATGTATATATACTAACAATTAATTTGTTCAAAAACAAGCATGTTTTGTGAATTTGTTGTGACGACACAGTTAACATCTTTTTATCAATTCAATGGTACATTAAAGTATACCACTGTTGCATACAATTTTCACAAGGGAGTATTAAAAAACACGGCAATGGCAGCGATTATTCGGACGTGTCTCGGAAAAAAGTAGAATTCCAGTGCTCCTCATAACTTGGATCATCAGCGAAATCAAAAAAACAGGATCATTCGTTAGAAAATAGTTTTGCTCAAGTAACGCAGGTAAGGATTTTCCATATTTAAATTTTTTTGGGAAAAACGCAATGTTTTGCGAAAAAATTTGCTACTCTGTTTAGTGTCCCGAATAGCAAAAGGATTGATGAAGTAATTTTAATATTATGAAGGTCTGACTTTGAAAACGTGAGTTGTGGGGAAACACTTTAAAAGGTTAGGTGTAGTGCAGTAGTTTATGCATTTTCTTACTATATAATATATTGCTCTTATAAAATTTGAAGTAAATCCGACAAATACTTTTCAAGTTATTCGATAATTAGCAAAGGTTGATCGGGCGCTCTGAAAAAATTGAGAGCAGCAAAATATCAGTTACATGCGTTTTTCTCAAAACTATAATTTTAGAACTGGTGACCACTGCAGCTCGGTAGATTTCAATCAAATTTATATAGCTTTTTTAAAACAAGAAAAACTAGTGCCTGATCGAGTTATTGACCAATTAACTTGGTTTTTTCCTGAAAATCTAGAACATTTTTCTAAGGCCGCCATTTCGTTAATTATATATAACATGTCATTTCGCGCAGGGCAAATTTGGATTAGTAACACAAGCGACATTTTTTCAAGGATTGAAGGATGCAAGACTCTTTAATATTATATTTCCTAATTTTTCTCTCAAACGCGTTCCCGAATTATGTTGTTACCGATGGAGATACGAAAATTTGATCAGCTGATATCAAAAGTATGCTAAAATCAGTGTGAAACGAAATTTAAAAACAGCAAAGTTATTTTTGAATTTCCTGGAATTTTTTATTTTTTGTTATAAATGTTAAATATTTGTATGTAAAACGTGCCTAATAAAATCGGGATATTTTATAATGAGTTGTATTCTTTGATATAGTTGTTTTATTTGAATATTATTATAAAATGTTATTAGCTGTACCCGGTGTGCCCTGCTACGCTCCTTTTTATACTCTCAACATGTTGCTACATAGTATAAGTATTGTACACCTAACGGTTATTTGTATCACCCAAAACCAATCGAGAAAGGTATGGAGTTATGTATACAAACGATCAGGATTACGGGGGAGTTCAAATCCGGATGACAGTCTGTCCGTCCTATTGAAATCCTTATTAAATCTTCTATTATTCTATAAAATAAAAAACTCGCCGGTAAGAAATTTTGCTTTAATGAAGATTGAAAGCCTATTTTCATGCAAAAGACAAATCGTTTTACAAAAGTGGTATAACAATGTTAGACCGGCGCTGGAGTGATTGTGTTGCTCTTGATGGAGATTATATTGAATATGAATAAAGCCAATTTTTAACAAAACACAAAAACGTGTTTTCTTTGTTAGACGCGGGACTTTTCAGGCTATGTATTATAGATTGCAAAATCGACGGTGATTTTGCAAAAAAAACAAAAGGCTTCCGTTAGGACCTTCTGCAGGAATAAAAGAATAACTGTGCACATTTTCAAGTCTTTTCGTGCCGTGGTTGGACGTTCTGCGGGTACATAGATATATAAATAGATTGAAATATGCACCGCGACCTATGGTCTATTATGCCTTTCCTTAAGTCACAGCGACTCACCTAGCCCCAGCACATCGATGGAGTGCAATATACTGCTAGGTGCTCGTGAGGTGATGTGACCCCTATTAGGAAACATGGATCCAAGGGCCTTAATTCTGCAGTCTACTTGCAGGTGTTCTGGGGTTTCTGGTTCCATGTCGCAGGACCGGCAGTTTGCACAAGAGGCCAATCCAATGTTGTAAAGATGCTTCATGGACCTGCAATGGCCAGTGTAGAACCGAAAGTAGCCGGAACTTGTTCCTTAGAAGATTGATTACATTTTTAAACCTTCTGAGGTCGTTACCCCTCATTAACAACCTGGCATGGTGGATGCCTTGGAGTTGTTGCCAATGTCTCTCCCTGGCTGCTCTTTCCTCACTACGGAGTAGCTCCTTAATGGTGTGCGGACCAACCGCGACGAAAGGCTCTGGTCCTACCATTCTTGTGGAGGCTGGAGAGCGATCCAGCTTCTTCTACGAAAACACCCCAGCAGAAACTGCTTGGAGAGCAGCTCGTTATGTTCCTTAACCGGAAGCATAAGGGCCTCACTGTGCAGGTGTTCTATTGGGGACACGAAGAGGCATCCCGTGATAATCCGGAGTGCAGTGTTCTGACAAGTCTGAAGCTTCTTCGTCTGCGTTTCACAACATCCAGGCGACCGTATTGGTGATGCATAGTTTAGGGCCGGCCGGCCGATCGCCTTGTATGTTGCGTTTTCGTTTGTCTTTTCCTAAAATTTTAAGGTTATTAACTGTCGGAATTTTTGTGGCATCGACTAAAATGTTCAGGTCCAGTCTGTACTCCTTCGTCCAATTTGTGAAGATGGTCGCTGTGGATTTAGTGGGGGAGAGTGTCAGACCCCTTGCAGAGAAGAAGCGAAAAAGGTCAGAGAGATAGCTGTTTACTTTCGAGCACATGCCATCGATTCCATTGCCTGATAATACGGATGAGTGCCGACCGCTCAGGTAGTTCATAGTACACCGCTTCAGCCCTGGAGGGAGCGTGGATTGTTCTATGTCCTCAAGTAGGTCATTGAGTGGTTGACTGTGTCAAAAGCTTTTGACAAGTCCAACGCTTGGAGGATCGTCCACTTGCAGGGTGGCTTTATGTTTAGGCCATGAACATGGCGTTTACGACGCTAAGTGTTGTGGTGGTGCTGTGCACTTTACGGAAGCCATGCTGATGGTCTGCTAGACTCATGTGGTGAGTGAATGTCGGGAGTAGCAAGGCCTGAAGTGACTTCACAGGAGGCATGGCCATCGAATTGAAATTCAACCCGGTCGTCATGTCTCTTCGAATTAGACAAAGTCTTGACAGTAGTCCAAAGCTTACTTACACCGGTGGAGAGATTGCAGGACTTCAGGTGCTCTATCCATTTTGTCCGCTTATGTTGATTTACCATTTGCCAAATCTCCAAACTGAGATCCCTTATTCGGGGATCACAGGAATTAGCATGGCGTAAGGTATCACGCTCGTTTGCTAATACAGCTGCTTCGGCTTGGAAATTATTGCGGAGTTCTGCCATTCGTCCAACCGGTATGAAGCGAGCAGTAGCAGCAACGATCACCTTGCGGAATTGACGCTCGCTAACGATGACGTCCGTAGGAATGGGTAGTGCGTTGAAGGTGCTCTCAGTAAATTCTGTGAAGCCGACCCAGTTAGCTTTGTTAAAGTTAATGAAGGAGCGGTTGTCCATAGAAATAAAGTCGGGAGGTTTCTCGATCGAGATAATTATGGGCAGATGGTCTGATGCGAGAGTTGGCATAGGTCGCCTGGTTATGCTATTTATCAGACCACCGCTTGCGATGATAATATCGGGCGAGCTATTACAGGTGCCCATAATTCTGGTGGGGGCCTCGTCATTCATTGTGCAGAATGTCGAATCGTCAATCTGTTCCGTCAAATCCATCCCCTACGATCGTTTGACAGGCAGGAGTGCCAAATATCGTGGTGCGCGTTAGTCACCTAGCACAAAACGGTTTTCACCACGAAGCAGCGCACCTATGTTCGGGTGGTATCCTGTTGGGCAACATGTAACTGGGGGGATGTATATATTAAATATCTCGAGCTCAACAACGCCAGACCAAACAGCTATACTCTACATTCAAGGGTAGTGTCCCTGCGGTCGATGTCACCATCGATTAAACGATATTGCTTGGTGTTGTGCAGTATGAAGGCTAGGGGGGTTGGTCAGAGTAGGAGTCATGCAGCCTAGAGCTCCTTAGGGCCGTTAAGGTCCTTTCTTGGCCACTCGACTGGACTGGCGGCGCAGTGCGCGAACATGGTTCAGATTGCACAGCCGTTGAGCCTGGTGTCGCAGTATTGCGTTGGTAGCATGGGGCCACGTAGCTCGTGGTCCACTCCCTATGGGTTATAGGGCCTGAGCAGGTCTTAAAATGGCTCCATCTATTGCATGTATTGCACCTAACCGAGGTGGAGTTTGGATGGAGCCTTTTAGCGCATATGCAGCAAAAGAATTCCTCGGGGCCGGGGTTGGACTCGATGCCAGCACGGGTCAAGAGGATACGGAGCAACCCTGCTGCTAGGTGTTGCTATAATGACGACAAACTTAAACTAACACTTACAGTTTCAAACAGGGATAGACAGCCCTTGGCCGAATAAAATCCGGGTCAATTCCGGTAACGTAGAACCGGCTGTTGTGGGAACCGACTTGATCGTGCTAGACATCTCCAGCTCCCTGCCGCCAAGGGATAGATTTCTGGGACCTTCGTCTGGTAAACGGTATGATTTTAGTTTTAGGGGGGTTAATGTTTAAGCCAACCCCACTACACCACCCCTTTGCCAGCCCCAATCCCCTTTGTACAATATCAATGGCGTCCGGATTTTGGTATCTCCTACTGAAGTTTCAGCTACGTTAGTGCGCAGTACGGCTTCGATCCATCTGCGTACTGGTGCTGCCACACTCCTTTTCTCCAGTGCTCTTGACACACTTTCGTGAGACATATTATCAAAAGCACCTTCGATGTCGAGGAACGCGCATAACGTCACCTCGCCCCATCTAACAAACTTCGGATCTCTGAGGTTAACTGATACAGAGCAGTATTAGATGATCTACATACTCTGTAAGCACCTTCGATTGTATTTTGTAGTCAATGATCTTTTCCATAGTCTTAGGTAGGAAGGAGGTTAGACTAATTGGCCTGAAGGATTTCGCCAATGAATAATCTTTGCTTCCTACCTTGGGTATGAAGGGCACCTTTGCAGTGCGCCATGGTTCTGGGATATATGGCAGCGCTAGGCTATCCCTCATCAGCCGAACAAGGAGGGGCGATGGGACCTGGTCCCCCGGTTGCAAAAATGCTGGAAGCATGCCATCCGCACCCGAGGACTTATATTTTTCGAAAGAGGCCAAAGCCCACTTGATGGAGTCTGCAGTGAAGAGCTGTTTTGGGACTATCTAATCTAAGCGAGATGGCTTTCGTTCGACCATAGGTCGAATCTGGTCTTCTCGAAATGTCTCCGGGATATGCGCAAGTGGAAGAGCCGTGGCTCTTTCCTCTACGCTGAACGTATAGGTGTCCCATCCGATATTTTAATTGCTAGTACTGTGTCTGTCTTGCCTCTAGCCAGAGCCATATGCAGCCTTGCTGGCGTTGAGGACAATATTATATATGAATTTTGAAAATTTTTAGTTAGGGTGCCTGCAAATTGGACGCTGAAAGCCGAGACGTGCGCAAAGCTGACGAATGCGAGAAAGCATCTGCAAAACTGTGCGAGTAACTTTTCAAACTCGAGTGTTGCATAGTTCATTTGTATGTTGGTCCGGTGGTCTCATATTTTGCTTACAAGGAATTACCATGAACGTAGAAGAACAATATTTAGAATACCCGCTATTAATACTTTCAAGGAATATGACGGGAATTCCCCTATCCATCAGAATTTATCAAATATCCGCTACTAATATTTTCAAGGCCAACTTCTTATTCTAACGGGATGTATCAAATGCCGTTTTTTACGTCTTATTTTCTTTCTTTTTCTCATAAAACATACTTAAATTAACTACATTTCTTGTTTTAAATAATATGATATTCGAACTAAATCCTTTGCAGTGAAAAGAAACTGTTACGAACAGGAAACAGTAGAACTATATAACAGCAAAATACTTGCGGAATTCAGCGCTGAGTCTCGCATCTACTCTGCGGTACCCAAATCAATCAGCGCTGATCGAAGTCAGTTTTGCGCTCGGCTCTGCATTGATCGTCCACTCTGTAGTCACCCTTATTTATCTACGTACCTAAGCAGTATTTATTTACAATATCAATACACGTATTTAGGGTTGTATATGTGTGATTCAGGTCTATTCAGGAAACGAGCACCTAGAAATAATATCGAAATGCAAAATTCCCAAATTATTGTTAAAATGCCCAATCTAATCTAATTAATGACATCATTGGCAAATATCATAAAAGAAGTTGACAGTTCTCTGTCGAATCAAACAGTTTCGTATTATGTCATCCTTGATCTCCACAACGACTAACCGTTGGGCGTAAGTGTATGTGTGAAGACAGATTGCATAACTGTGCCGACCACTGATTTAATGCCAGGACTATATTCAGGTATACGTTGCAATTAGCAATTATCTAACTATATATTTATACATGCCTGAACAAGATGATGTTGGACGTGATGCTTGCTGTTGCTGCTGTGACATTTGCCACCCAGTTGAAGACGGTGAAGGCGAAGAAGTCATTATGCCCAACTTTCGATTTTGCATTTCAGTATAGAGTTCTTTCGTAGTTTTAACCTTTTTATTACCCATACCCAGTGATGATATCAGCATTTGAGATGAGAGACTAGTTTCTTTTGCAATAATAGAATCAACCCCTTTAGAGCCTTTTTTACGTCCACGCTTTCTTGGTATTTTCTTCTCTGGCGAAAGAGCAGCATTTGAGGTTACATCCGAAGTGTTTGACATTTGCAATTTCGGTAGAGGGACATTTGGTCCTGCCACTATTTGTGGGGTTCGCATATGTATGGCTGGAACAGCTCTATTCTGTAAATTCAAATTATCCTGCCTCCGTTGAGCATGCATCATTTTATCATTACTAACCACATCGACGAGATCCGTTTGTGAAGCTTGACTATAGGAGTTGCTATCATTTGAATTGAAACCAATATCGCGAAATGGTGTAAATTGTGTCGTCATGGGGCCAGAGTGTAAAGAAAAATGGTTTGTATGTGTAATTTTTGGTGAGACAGTCCGACGAAAAGTATTATATAAAACAGCGTCGGTACTGGATGTTGTTGGAAGCAATGCGCCACTTGGCTGGAATTTACCAGCAAATGTTAAGTCAGATGTTGACAAGTTAAAGGATGTACGGCTACTATTACTAGCAGAACAATTTACTTTATTTTGTTCATCAATAGGATGTGCTGAATTTTCAGGAGGGAACATAGAGCTCATTGAACTATTATCCAGTAGCGAAAGAATTTCTAAAGAAAATATGAATAAGTTTTGGTTTTTTGATCAAATGAAGAAATGTCAGTTTTACCTGGATATGTCAAACGAGACTTTTCTTCATTAGCAAAAGATGAATATTTCTCGTCGTTTTCACCACACTTACGATGATGCTGTTGATTTGATGATGTATCATCTAATATAACAGTGTCAGCTTTTGAATCGCCGACGGCATCGATTTCTGCTTGAATATCGTATTCACCTTTTTCTTTACGTTTTTTTTCTTTTCTTTCCTTTTTTTGTTTTAATGGTGATTGGGATGTCGAATTCGCTGTACTGAGTTTGCTATCTAAACTAACCGATTCTGCTTTGGCTGGTCCAGGTATTAGTATTTTAGTGGTAATAGGAATATTGGTGGATATGGGAGTAACTAAATTTGAACCAGAATTTGAATCCTGTATATCAATTATAATGGGCGCGAGATTTGCAGGACGACTGCTCAGTGGAAGCATCAAACTCATTCCAGAATTTGAATTTGATGATTGATCAATAATAAATGTTTCTGTATCCGGCGGAACTACATTTTGTTGAACAGATTTATTTAATTTATTACGAAACGTTGAATTATTACTTGATATATCTACATTACTTCTATCCGTAACGCCAAAACCAACGAGAACATTCTCAAAACTTGTTGGCTGTTTTTTAACATAGATGGTACTTTCATTTTGGTTTTCGATATTTGCTAGTCTTTTATTGCTATTATAAGAACCCGATATTACATTCGTTACCCGCGGTACGTGTTCTGCAATGACAGAAGGTGCAGAAGGTACAACAACGACTGGAGTAATATTAGAATTTGATTGGTGTTGTGTCGCATCGATGTGCATTGAGGAGGAAGCTGGAGAAACAGACTGCGATCGAAGCTTTTTTTGTTGGTACGTAATAGAGTTATGGCCAGATACAGACGGCACAGTTGCAGATGAGGTAATTGATGTGGAATCAATAACTTGCTGCTGTTGTTGCTGTATTCCCACCATTTCACGCCATTTCTTAAGTAAAGACTTGGCACGGCGTGCTAAATGCTCATCCTTGGTACGACGTCTTAAATGGTTAATAAATTTTGCCAATCTGGTGGTCTCCAATTGCTCTTTTGTAATCGTTGTTCCCTCCAAGGTTGATATAACCGACATGACTGCATCCATGTTAACCACCTATATAAATAAATCATCTTTTAATGCATCTGTACATAACAGTTTTGTTTATAATACTTACATCATAATTTTGATCGAGCGCTTGACATAAACGAATGGTTAGATCATGTATGTGCTTGGTGTTCATTTATAATGAACGTAACAAAAATAAATTTATTAATGAAAATAATCGGAACTAAAAAAACAACGATAACTGCGGAACATGGACGCTTAATAGGCTATTCGCTATTTTTTCGATTCAATAGATTGTAATTAGTTCCAAAAACTGTAAATAGAAATTTGAACAGAACCAAACTTAAAATTCACATAGACAATTTATGGATATGGTATAATGTCCAACTAAATTAAATTTAACGAAAAACTTCTGATACGGAAAAAGTTCTTACAAAACATGGGAGTCCTTCGATAAAATTTTAAATAGTTCGCAGATAACCACATATTAAGACTATGTACGAAGAATATGTGCATATGTAATTCCACTTATACTACTTTTTAATATTATTAAAGTACTTTATGGATATGATATAATGTCCATTATCGCATACAAAATTTGTCAGTTCTTCGATTAAATTTAAATATTTTATTATTATCCCCATATTAAGAATATATGTGTTTATCCGTCTATCAGTAGTTGAAATTAAATAATTAATAAATGAATTTAGAGAACAAATGTCAAAACATTTTCCATATCTTGTTTTACAATATAAAGACATTCTTTTGACTTAAAATGGCCGGATACCATCATGACAACAATGTCATACCTACATGATAACAATTTCATAACAGCCGGTTCTACGTTACATGACTTGACCCGGATATTATAAGGTCAAGACCTGGCCATGTTTGGATCGGTAAAAAGTAAATTAAAAATGTCAACCTAGAAACAATAATACACTCCACTACTGAGCAAAACAAAGAACCACACATGCACAAGTCGACTGGTTATATCGGGTATATAGACTTCAAATCGCTATTTTTTATTTATTGTGTTTATATATCGGAAGTGTTATGTACAATTTGCCATGCGACATAAACATAAAGGTAGATTTATTTTCATAAAGAAAGTTTTTAATTGTATTTTTTACTTGGCTTACATATACTCGGTTAGCACATTCTTTAAATGTGTCTTTCGGAGAATGTTTTTAGCCAATCTAAATCAAATTTAAACAAAACTCAACAGTGAATAATTTCATAACAAAATTATAAATAATTATTAATTTTAAGCATTATAATAATTAACTAATGAAAAGCCTCAGTGAGTACATAAAAACACAAAAACTAAATCCATGCTATCATTCGCAGTATTGAACAAGCACTATTAAAAATTCATCCTTATTTCCCGTTATATTTTAAAATTTTGGTAAAGCTTAAACAATGAACATAATTATATATTTTAATGTTTAAAAATGCAGATTTCGCAAATTGTTTACAATATTTATTTTTAAACTCAAGAAATTTATGTATGACAACTTTATTAGTTAACAGACAGTAACTTCTATAACTATTTACAAACGAGTATACTTTTATTCAAAAAAAAAAAAAAATAACTATATTATGCGAGCAGGAATGTGGATTTTTAGGAATTTATATGGCTACACAGTTTTGAATAAATATTGTAGTATTGATATAGAACAAATACCATTATTTGAAATAAAACTGACACAAATTATTTATTTTAATTAAATCGCCAAAAAAGTTTATATCCAACTGATATAAATTATATTTGAAAAATTTGATTTTTTTATAATTGTAGTAAAAGTTACATTTACTATCAAACTATGTACACGTATATGAAATCTTGTTAATTCAAACATTAGTTGGCTTAGTTTAGTTTTCTCTTTCACGCACGGCATTTGGCTAATATTTTGTATTATTTGGGAACTTTGAACGCTTCAACTAAATATCATGAATTTTTACATATTTTATACTAAAAATGAATTCACCAGCTTGTTGCATTATTAACGCAATCTTTCGGTGTAAAAACCGCCCGCATATCAACATTAGACGTATATTGTCTTTGACACGGAAACCACTACGTTAGCCTTTTCACATATTACTTCGCTTTTCTAAATTTCTACACTAAAATTTAAATAACTCCATAACGTACGCTCTTATTTGATGTTTAGAAATTACTTGAAGTTTCGCGTGCTATAAGACGTTCACTTTTTACAGCAAATTTAGAAAAAGTTATTACAGCACGTCGCACTCATTTTACTTCATGGAAAACAATTCATCGCGTAATGGCGGAAAGAAAGCGACGACGGCGAATGAACTCGCAATATTCAGTAGAGTTGCATGTTGAAGACATTTTCAGTGTTGCCTTTTTGGAATATAAGAGAGTTAATAGAAAACACTCAATTAGTAACGCATAATAGTTATTGAAACTCGCCACTGTAACCTTCAATTTTTAAAATCAATATACTCTATACTTATAATTTCAAATATATACAACATTCGCTATCACAATTACTTTTAACCATTCACTTAATTGGCAATTAGGGTGGACTTTAGTTTAGCATCCCACGATTTCAGGGTTAGAAGTGGTATGGTTTTATAGAGGAGATTCTCCAGATCACGAATATATATAATTATTGCCGCCGGAAACTTATTGTTTTCGAGATATTTTCATTTTAAGTTGAAAATTTCACAAATTTCATTTTACAATTTCTCGATTTATGGTTATCTTTTCTTTTATATTATGCACTTCTTATACACTAACTTTTCACTTCAATGTTTCTACATATTTATTTTATATTAAATATTTAAGTATTTGCTTTAAATATGCATTTAATTTTTACACAATTTTCGTAATATGAACAATAACAAATGGGTTCCATGTTGTCAGATAATAAGTGTTGCCATGTCTATTATATATATATATATATATATAAATATATATTTTGAAAGCGAATTAAAATGAACAATAAAAGAGGATTATACCCCAAATACATGAACTATAATTTTGTTCATTCCCTTCTATTGATAAATTATGGTATTGGACTGGCCAGGGTTATATTTTTAAAGCGCGGCCGAAGGCCGCCAGGGCGGAAAGAAGTTTGACGCGATTAAATTATGAACACCCCGGTGTTGGACCGACCAGGGTTATTTTTTTGAAGCGCGGCCGAAGGCCGCCAGTGCAAATAAAAAATCTTAACAAAAAAAAAGCAATGTTAAAGAGAATATATCACTCTCTATAAACTTCAATTTTTATTAAGGATAATTATAATAACAGTGAAGATTTTGAAAATTTAATATATGAATACATATGGCGTAAAATATAGTAAATCAGCACCATGATCCATTTGTGAAATTAGCAGATGCAATAAAACATACGTTTAAGCCATGAAACCTTTTGCTTTTATTAAAATGGAAAATTAAGTTCATAATATTTTGTAGAGGGTGATTGGGTTTTTTATTTATTTTGATTGCTTTCATCCGTTTGGATATGGCAACACTTATTATCTGACAACATGGAACCCATTTGATATTGTTCATATTACGAAAATTGTGTAAAAATTAAATGCTTATTTAAAGCAATTACTTAAATATTTAATATAAAATATATATGTAGAAACATTGAAGTGAAAAGTTAGTGTATAATAAGTGCATAATATTAAAGAAAAGATAACCATAAATCGAGAAATTGTAAAATGAAATTTGTGAAATTTTCAACTTTAAATGCAAATATCTCGAAAACAAATAAGTTGAGTTTTTTACGCATTTGTTAAAAATTTACATGCTGTTCTGTGCTTTCTCTTCTCAACTCAAAAGAATTATGTCACAAAAAGAAGTAACGCCGAAATCAGTAACGGTAAATTCTTGCCGTAAACTTGTATTCTATCATTCTTGGCACAAACATACCTACTCGAAGCCATTTCGAAAATATTTATCTCATGATAACAAATGCCCTCATAAAAATACTACTAACCTTAATGGAAATGGCTTTGACAAATGTTGTCCACAGAAATTTTATGACAAATATTACTGTCACTTATACAGTTATTTCGTGATTGACCAGCTCTAGTTTTATTTTTACATGAAACCTATATTGGCAATACATATCGTCGCCTACAAAGCAAAGTAACAAGAAATTCGAAAATAAGTTTCTATTAATAACGATTTACTACAACATATTGCATACTTATATGTGCAATATTTTTAGCTGTACTATCGCATACATATAACCCAGTAGTCTGTGCGCCAAACGGCGGCGTAATGAAAGTTCTGACAGTTGAAATTTATCCAACTCATAATCTTGATACAATTTTGACCATTTATTAAAGTGAATACAGATATGAAAACGAATTTAAATGAACCGCCGTGGACACAAAAGGAAAATTACATAAGAAAATAAATTTATATGTAACATATAAATCAGAAAATCTATAAATATTTCTTAAAAAAAATTAATTAATAATATAATTATTTATTATACTATATATAGAATTACTAATACTGATTAACTCCATCCCTACAAGTTAATAGCTACCAACTGTCAAATCTATTGTCATTGAAGCTTTATACTCAAAAACGAGTGCACGATAGCTAAATTTTCTTGTCGTCTTGAAGTCAGCTTCTTGTAGGTTACGAAAACGGCAGCGACAAACCAAACAGCCGTTGTACACACCTTCGTTGTTGTCGTTGAATGAAATTTAAGCATTCTGTTCAAAAGGAAAATTTTCGTGCCAAAATTAAGGGAATAGATCGATTCATTAGATTTAAATTATTAAATTAATACAAATACTAAAATTGTTGTAAAAATTATATATCAGAGTTATTTTATACTTCTGCTGATAAAATATCGTAAGGCTTATTAGAGCCTTGAATAATTTTACATTTCACATAATAGTGACATCACTACAGCTACCCATCGCCGTCGACAGATCTAGAAATAGTTTCAATTTAGCGACAGTGAAGTTGTGCTGCTGTGTAAATAAGAACGTTTGTATCTTAATATTTGACAGATGCTGCCTGTCGCTTGCCATCGCTTATGTTTCCAGCGTGTTCATGCTTTCCACACGCTTCCTATATATGTAAATTCAGGGTTGTTATCTGCGTTTATAAGTAGCACGATTTCGTCTGCCTCCCTGTTTCATTATCCAATACCATTGTATAAGTATGTAGATTTAAGCAATGTCCAATACAATTATAACGGCAACTATAACCGACTACCTTTCCGCAACGGGGTTGAAAATTGCGAATTCAATTCCCTTCTATCCCAATTGGGTTTAGGCTAGAGATAAAGAGATGCCCAACTCATCTCTCACTGGAAATGTGAGCGCGATTGCTAAAAAGGATTTGAAGACAAGGATGGATATCCTAACAAAAAAATATGTGAAAAGAGAAATTTGTTACCGCTGTTAAAGATCTCTAACTAGAATTAAAAGACAATGACATATAAAGAAAAAGCAAAATTGAAATGTATTAATGAAATCTTTTGTGATTCCATGCTTAGTAGTATTAATTTTCAATTGAAAATGATAAAAATAAACATATATTAATTTAGAGCCTATACATTTTTTCACTCTTTTAACCATGGTATACTTTACGATGCTTTTAACTATTGAATATTCAAAAATCAGTTGTTTTAATATGTCAAAAAGTCACAAAAAATATTTAAATAGTTTCTTCATGTGTTAAACGGATATATATATCATAATTATTAATCTTAATAAATGTTGAGTGTTTTAATTTAAATGCAGCAACCACTACACTAACGACAATATAATACACAACTGCTATATACACTACTAAGTAGTAAAGGGAAATAATAATTGAAGGAAAAATATATATATGTATATATCGGAATTCAGCACTTTGATGCAGTCACAAGTCTCTACATATGAGATTTTAAACTAGAGACAATTTTGTGACTTGAGACGATTTGGCATCTCAGTAGGTGACAGTCACAAAAATCTCTCAATTGAAATCGAACAAATCTTATCAGCTGTTACATTTCGTAGGATGCATATAGTGACGAACACGATTGATAGAAAAAAATCGAACAGACAATAAATTGTCAGAAGCAACTAGACAGCGAATTCGTAGTTGCCAGAATGTTCTAGTAGCGAACTTTTATTAAAGATTTACTATATAAAGGCTGCCGGACTGTGCAGCAAACACAGTTTTAGTTAGAGTGTTGTCGTATTGAGAGCAATTGAGACATAATCAAAAGTTGTTAGCTCGAATAACGAGCAATAAGTGTTAAGTTGTTGGAATCAGAAACAAAGATAAGTGTATAGCCATTAAATTGGGATACAACAGTCCAGTGATCGAACTCAAGATTGAGTTACAAGGTAGACGATTTATCGAGAAATCCGTTACAATTGGTGTCAGAAGTGGGATTTTAAAATAAATTCCCAAGGAGATAATTATTTGAAAATGGTCAAGCTTAACGATCAGAAGATTCCCCAACTGAAAAAGAAGCTGGAGCAACTGGGTTTGGCGACAAATTAATTACAAACACAGTTGCGAGAGGCCATGGAGGCGGAAAACATTAATGTTGAGGAATATGTCTTTCAGTTAAAGTTAGAAAAAGATACAAAAAAGATAAAAGAAAAGGAAGAGACGCGCTCATCAAATGAACATGATTTTGGCTGCAATGTCCCAGATATCAACGCTGATATCAACAGAGGTGTCAACGCAAATATCGACACAATTTAAAGCGCATGGGGAGCGTATGTAAGCATAGTTTAAAACGATTGGGGTTTGTAAGTGAGCACAGGTGGATGCGCACGGGCTTCATTTATCAATAAAAGAAGAGCAGTCGGAAGAGCAGGAAGCGTGTATACCAGCACAAAGGTCCTCAAAGTCGCAAGAGTTGAACGTACATATGTCAACGCAGGTGTCTTCACAATTGGAAGAGGAGGGAGCGTGTGAACCAGTAAAAGGGTCCGCACAGTCAGAAGAGCAGGAAGCGTGTGTACCAGTACATGGGTCCTCACAGTTGGGAGAGCACGAAGTTTGTATACCAGCACTGGTGTCCTCACAGATGGAAGGGCAGGATAAAATTAAACCTGAAACGGATGACTCTTTGCAAGAAAGTCCAAAATTCGAGAGTGTAATGCATGAAGTGGAGTTGAACCAATGTACAACGAGTGGAGAAATAAATTTAGAAAGCTCAGTCGCAGTTTTGGTATTCAAGGACCATTTCAACGAATGGCCAAAAGTTATACACAATTCCTAATCAAGAGGCTGAACCTGTGGCGGACGCATTCATCAACAAGTGGGTAACGAGATTCGGTGTTCCAATGAAGCTCCGTACTGATCAAGGATGGAATCTCGAGCCAGCTTTAAGTCAAGGGATGCACCAGAAACTGGGTATCCAAAAATTGGATGGAATTAACTCCAAGAAAAGAAGGACTTCTACGGAAGTTAACACCAGCTTAGAAGAAGAGAGGTGGCACATAAAAGCTTTGTGTTTGTACCGCAAATGTGTCTAATCGGGACGATCAGATTTAGGTGAAGGGCAGTGTGGCGAACATGGATTCTAGAACAAAATCGAATCAATGATGCCAGAAGCAACTAGTTAGCGAATTCGTAGTTGCCAGAATGTTCTAGAAGCAATGTTTTGTTACAGATTTGCTATATAAGGGCTGTCAGATTGTGCAGCAAACACAGTTCTACTTAGAGTGCTGTCGTGATAAGAGCAATTAAGCTATAAGCAAGAAGTTGTAAGCTCGAATAACAAGCAATAAGTGTTAAGTTGTTGGAATTAGAAATAAAGATAAGTGTGTAGCCATTAAATTGGGACTTTTATTTAACAATCCAGTGATCGAACTCAAGAGTAAGTTACAGGTAGACGATTTATCGAGAAATCCGTTACAATTGGTGTCAGAAGTGGGATTGTCAAATAAATTCCCAAAGAGAGAATTGTTTGAAAATGGCCAAGTTTAACGATCTGAAGATTCCACAACTGAAAAAGGAGCTGGAGCAACGGGGTTTGGCAACAAATGGATTAAAAACTGAATTACAATCACGGTTGAGAGAGGCCATTGAGGCGGAAAACATTAATGTGGAGGAATATGTCTTTCACATGGAATTAGAAGAAGAGACAACAAAGATAGAAGAAAAGGAAGAAGCTCAATTCTCGTCAAAGATTGTAGACATAAACATGGTTTTTGCCGCAATATCACATATGTCGACACAAATTAAAGAGCAGAAAACACAAATGTCGACACTATTTAAAGAACAGGGTACACGTATGTCTCAAATGGAAACGCGATTGTCAACGCATTTGGAAGAGCAGTTCGCAGCGCAAGATGCACGTTTTTCAGCACAGTTGTCAGCACCGAAAGAGCTCGACGTGCATATGTCAGCGCAGGTATCCTCACAATTGGAAGAGGAGGAAGCATGTGAACCAGGATCTTCACAGTATGAAGAGAAAGAAGCTTGTATACCAGCAAAAGTGTCTTCGCAGTCGGAAGAACTGAACGGGCGCATGCCAGCGCAGGTGTCCTCACAGTCGGAAGAGGAGGAAGCGTGTGTACCAGTACAAGGGTCCTCACAGTCGAAAGAGCTGGAACTGCGTATGGCAGGGCAGGTGTTCTCACAGTTGGAAGAGGAGGAAGCGTGTGAACCAGTAAAAGGTTCCTCACAGTTAGAAGAGCAAGAAGCTTGGATACCAGCACAAGTGTCCTTACAGTTGGAAGAGCAGGAAGCGTGTATACCATCACAGGTGGAAGATCAGCATAAAATTGAACCTGAAACGAATGACTCTGTGCAAGAAGATCCAGAATTGGAAGGTGCATTACATAAGGTGGAGTTGAAAGAATGTACAACGATTGGAGAAATAACTGCAGGAAGGCCAGTCCAAAAATCATATTGGGCAGAACGGAGCAGTTTAAAGTTAGTGTATGGCTGCTTGCATCGAGTATGGAAAAGCGAAAATGGGCAAACCTTCCGAGTACTTATGGTTGTTCCAAAGGATGTTTCATATTTGATTGCGAAAATCACAATTTGCCAAGGCGAAACAGAAATTTTAAGAACACATGGAAAAAACTAATTATATACTGAAATACTTATATATGTATGTGTTAAGAATAGTTTGATATTAACTTTGCACATGTGTACTTATTTATATTGGGCTACATAAACTAAGAAATCTTATTTTTCCGAATATCCATTGTCCAAAGAAGTAGATTTTCTACCGTTTTTATTCACTTCATACAGTTTTTTTATCCTCATTAAATTTCTAAATACCATAACTCAAGAGCTCAGACAAATGCTTCTATAGCTTGAAAGTACCTCCCAGCCGTTATTTCGCAAGTGCTTTTATCAAATATTCCCAACCACATGCATGAAACACAATGAAAGCGGCAGGTGACAGCCACCATCTGTCAAATATTAAAATACTGTAACGGGTTTCTCGATAAATTGTCTACCTGTAACTCACTCTTGAGTTCGATCACTGGATTGTAAAATAAAAGTCCCAATTTAATGGCTAACACTTATCTTTATTTCTAATTCCAACAACTCAACACTTATTGCTCGTTATTCGAGCTTACAACTTCTTGCTTATAGCTTAATTGCTCTTATCACGACAACACTTTAACTAGAACTGTGTTTGCTGCACAATCTGACAGCCCTTATATCTTAAATCTGTAACAAAACATTGCTTCTAGAACATTCTGGCAACTTCGAATTCGCTAACTAGTTGCTTCTAGCAGTTTATCGTTGATTCGATTTTGTTCTATCATCCGTGTTCGTCACACTGCCCTCCACCTAAGTCTGTTCGTCCCGATTAGACATATTTGCGATACAAAACACAAAGCTTTTATGTCCCCCATCTCGTTGTTGTTGTTGTTGTTGTACCGGCAGAATTCTGCCGAGTTGACAGTCCTTGGCCGGAATAAATCCGGGTCCGTTCCGGTTATGTAGACCCGACTGTCGTGGTGCCCTCCCCCATCTCGTCTTCTAGGCTGTTGCTGACATCGTTAGCCGTCCTTCTCTTCTTGGAGTTGATTCCATCCGTTTTCCGGATACTCAGTTTTTGGTACATCCCTTGACTTAAAGATGACTTGAGATTCCATTCTTGATCAGAACGTAACTCCATTGGAACACCGAATCTCGTTACCCACTTGTTGATGAATGCCTCCGCCACTGGTTCAGTCTCTTGGTTAGGAATTGTGTATACTTGTGGCCATTCGTTGAAATGGTCCTTGACTACCAAAACATGACTATTTCCTAATTTATTGGTAGGGAATGGACCATCTTCATACACGCCTATTTTCTCAACTGGCGCACGCAAATTGTGCTGTTTCATCTCCCATGACTCCTGGACCTTGATCTTTTAGCTACAATGTTCTCAGCATATTTCGCAATCCTTTCTATAGCTGATTGACAACCAGTCCAATAAAACCTTTGCTTCAAATGCTCCAAGGCGCGTTTTTCGCCGCTTAGCGTTAACACCGACGCGGCATTGCTCAATAAAGCGGCAACTTCACGTCAAATAATCATTTAAATTGTAAAACTAGTACGAAAGAATTGAAATGCGAAACGAATTAATTTCTTAATAATTTGTACAAGCATTAAACATAGCGCGTGAAGACATTTTTCCAAAAATTTACAAATTCTTCGTATTCTTCGCTAAACATAAGCTATATGCCGTCTTTGTAGGCAATATTTCTAGCCCTAGAGATTTCTAGACAATATTTATTGCCTACCGAGGTTTCCCGTAACAGTCTAAGACAACTATTGGTAAAGATAGCCTATATACAGTTTTCAACTGCCATATGCGCAGCAATAAAGTTCTTTAGACAACATCTATTGCCTGCCGAGCCCTGTTATAGGAATCTTTTCTTAAGTTATATATTCAGACCGGCAACATTGAAACACACATGACAGAAGAGTAACATTTAAGTGTGACAGTATTCGTGTACCTCGTGGTTGAAAAACTCATTTTTTGTTACTGAATTACTGAACTTGGTGTAAACGTATTTATCTATATAGAATAAGATGGACATGTCGTTTAATAGAGGGCGGAGCGGCGGTATAAATGAAAAACTCTTGTTCGATTTCGTGTTTTAAATATTTATTTTACAGGCTTTCGTGGGAATCGTGGCGGCGGTGGACATCGAGGCGACGGTGGGCATCGTGGCGGCGGTGGGCATCGCTTCGGCGGCCGCGGATTTGACCAAGGACCACCTGATCGCGTTGTTCCTCTAGGTTTTTGCAGTTATTCATGCGAAGATGATCTTGTTTGTAAAGTGGAAATCGAGGATGTGCCTTATTTCAATGCCCCTATATATTTGGAAAATAAAGAACAAATTGGCAAGATTGATGAAATATTCGGCACCATACGTGATTATTCTGTGACTGTGAAATTGTCTGAAAATTTGAATGCCAAAAGCTTTAAAACTCAACAAAAACTGTTCGTAGATCCGGCAAAGTTGTTACCTATCTCGAGATTTTTGCCTAAACCACCCCAAAGAAAGGGAAGTAAGAAAAAAAGTATTAATGGTGGTACGGGAGGAACTCGTGGAGGTGGGTTTTCTCGAGGAAGTCGAGGAGGAAGTGGCCGTGGCGGGTTTTATAGGGGTCGTGGTAGCGCTGGCGGTGGTGGTTTTAAAAGAGGTGCCCGAGGCGGAGGACGAGGTCGCTGGTAGTACTAACATTATTTCAAATTTATTTGGAAAATGTCAAAATAACACTTAAGATTATAGAAATATTAAAATAAATGGTTAAACTTTAAATAGCATCCCTCCTATTCGTGGTGGTAATTGTATAGTTTAGGTTCCTCAATGAAGGAGGCCGCGAAAATCATAATTTTAATAATTGCTGAAGAAATGTATTAGCCACAATTTCTTTTACGTTGCGATCTTATTGTATGGACGAATAGCGCTTCAAAAAAATAACCCTGGTCCGTCCAATTTCCGATTTATCCCGATTTTGAACCGACCAGGGTTTCGAGCGACCTGTGCAGAAAGGAGTTTGAAGCGAATGAATTATGAACACACCAGCTTTTGACCAATTAGGGTTTTTTTTAGGTAGGGGTTACCCTGCGAAACAACTTGTGCGAAATGTGTAATTTTTTGTAAATCAACTTTCCGCTCACGGATTTGTGCTATTTGCGTCAAAATAAGATGATTTAGAAATAAAAAATATTTTCGAGGCCTCCTTCGTTGGTGGACCTAAAATATATATTTATCTTTGGGTTAAAATGGGTGTGTGCGGGTAGAGGAGGTTCTCCAGTTTAGCATTGCATTTGTAGACTAGTAATTCCACTCTAGCGTAGGAATGTAAATGTAAAATTGAAAAATTAAAACTATCCATATATGTATGTACATATGTATCGTATGGCGTGATGCTATATCCCGTTAACCACATGTATATTGATGAAGGAATTCAGTAAAAAACGGCCTATTCCGTGACAGACTGGTGTAAGATCAAGACGACCTCTTTTATTTGGAGGAAATTAATAAAACTTTTATACAGTATAGTTTAGGTCCCCCAACCAAGGAGGCCCCAAAATCAAAACTTTTTTAAACCGTCTTATTTTGACGCAAAGATTACATATCCGTGAGCGGAAACTGAATTTATTCAATAGTTTTTTTACATACATATATCTTTTTATATATATTTCTTGTGTACTTGTGTATGTCACTGAACTCCTCCTAGACGGTTGGACCGATTTTGATGAAATTTTTTGTGTGAGTTCTTATAACAACTAATTTTGGAATGTTTTACATTGGATCCGGTAACTGCGCTACCATCGCAGATGTTAGAACGTTTTACATAGAATTCCGGCAGACAGACTTTTCTCGTGGTTAATTATACGTTGCGTGTTCGAGAGTATGAAAACCATCGTATTAATTTTATACCTCTCAAGGATTAACTAAAAATATTGTACATCCTATGGTATTACGATACCTTCAGTTTTTGTAGATAATTATCTCTAAGAATAAGTACCCGTTGTAGAATAAATTCAACCTTTTCACAATCAATTAAAACGAGCTCAAGTTTTCATTCAATACAGCTTCTAAAATTAGCTAAAAAAAAAATTCTTAAAAACTCTCTGACATATACATATTAACACGCTATCGTTCACGAAGTTAGATATTGTAATAAGTTTTTAATAAAAATTTTCATCAAAATGGTCTAATTGTTACGTGATACAGGACAACGTCTGTTGGGCTTCTAGTATATATATAAAACAAAGTCGGGTTTGTTACAACACTTATAACTCGAGATTGGCTTGACCAATTTTCATGGTTTTTGGTTCGTTGGATTTTTCCCCGCCCCGAATAACAGAATACATCTTAAAAATAATGAAAACTCGATGAATAATTTTCTCTAAATGTTACTTTGTTTCGTACCTGTAATCCGAAATGGATGGAAATTATTCAACTGCTGCTTCCCGGACAAACATAAAGTGATCGACACGACATCACCGCACGCGTTTTCAAGTATAAAATCCAGGCACTGATGATTTACATTGTTAAACAACACGCCTTTGGGATTACTCAATGCTGGATGTATTCAATCGAATGGCAAAAAGAGGCTTGCCGCGTGAACAAATTCTAATTTGGTTAGTCGGAAGAATTCGGCCAGATCAAATAGATGACATCATATGTGCGGAGACTCCTAATCCTGAAACCGACCCAGACCTACATGATGTTGTGTGTGGCACCATCAACCGCCAATGTTGTTGTTGTTGTAGCGGCAGAAATCTGCCGAGTTGACAGTCCTTGGCCGGAATAAACCCGGGTGCGTTCCGGTTACGTAGACCCGACTGTCGTGGGAACGGCAACCGCCAATCACCGTGCATGGTCAACGGCAAGTGCTCCAAATCGTATCCACAAAAAATGACGGCAGAGACCAACGATGGTTATCCACTGTATAACGTCGATCGCCCGATAATAATGGTAGAACTATCACAACTAAAGTGAAAGGAAACGATTTTGTGCTCGACAACAGTTGGGTTGTTCCATATTCGCCATTTCTTTCCAAAACATTTAATAAAATGTTTTTGGTGAGTGCTATCATTGTGGCATAGTTAAACATTGGTCCTTCGAGCCTTACGGAAAGGCACTATTAGGAAAAAATAAATAAAAAATTTAATAAAATAAAGAACAAAAGTGCGGAGATCGAATACTTATATATGCAATACATATACCTAAAACAAAAAAAAAAAATCAAAAGTGTACAGTGAAACCAGCAAGTGCGGTATAAATGAATATACAGTGAATATACATAAAACAAAAAAAAAAAGTGCCGAATATAAAAATATACATATATACATATACAGTGCCAGTAAAAATAAATTAATACCTTCTGCTCAACGCAAAACGAGACTTTATCCATAACTCGACAAGGACATGACATATGGCCATACTTTTTTTTGCTTAGGTTGGCAGGACTGTTATATGTTTACATGTCAAATTTGAGCGCGATCTGTCACATAGTTTTTTTTTAAGGCACTATAAGCAAGTCAACCTCGAATGTGTTTTCGAATTTTACTATGGAAATTAACGTTGAGCAAAAAGTGTTTGTTTGAAATTTTGTTATTCCAATGGAATAAGTGCGACGGACGCAATGAAATGGTTGCAGTATTTTTGATTGGTATAAGTCGTTCAAGGACGGCCGTACATCGCTGGAGAACTTGCCCCATGATCGTCGTCCAGCAACGTCAATAAACGAAGAAAACGTCGAAAAAGTTAAGAAAATTGTGTTGGAAAATCGTCGTGTGACTGAAAGAGAGATAGCTATTGAGCTCAACATATCAAATGGATCCGCTCATAGCATTATTCACGATGTTTTGGGCATGAGACGTGTGTCTGCTCGACTTGTTCCAAAATCCAGCTCATACGTCTCGTCTTGTACGCGATTATTTGACCAAAAACAACGTA